AGGCAGGGAGAGGGGCAGAGCAGAGGCAGGGAGAGGGGCAGAGCAGAGGCAGGGAGAGGGGCCCCGGGGGCGCCAGGGGCTGGGAGCCAGGGAGGGGGTGGAGGGTGGGGGGAGACTCGGCCTAGGCCAGCCCGGCTGGGAGAGGGGAATCCCTGCGGGGAAGAGGAAGTTACGCGCGCTCTCCGCCTGGCAGGGAAACCCCAAAATCTGAGAGTGCGGCTGAGTCAGGAGGCTCCGCCGAAGCCCGGGCTCAAGCCGGACCCCGCCCGACTTCCTGGGCCCCGGTCCTCCGCGCTGCCCTCCCCGGACCCCTTACCCGGGCAGCCCGAGCCAGCGCCGCCGCGGGGTCTGGAGCAGCCGGAGCAGGGCTGAGCCGGAGCGGGAGCCCACACCCCAGCGACCCCGGGCCGCGCGGTGCTCGCGGCCTGTCCTCGGGGGCAGGGCGGCCCCCGCCTCACCTCCGCGCGATTCTCGTCGGGTCCGGCCCGCCCCTGCCGTCCAGCGCCCCGCCCTGGGCCGGGGGTGGGGTGGGTGGGTGGGGGGATCCTCCTCTGCTCCGCGGGGATCCGGGCGGCGGGCGGGCGCCGTCCGCCGGCCTGTCCGTCCGTCCCGCGCCGTCGGTCCGGGTGTGCCTGCTGCCGCCCTGTGGGCGCTGGGCGCGGCGCGCCCCGCACCTCCCCTTGGCGCGGCCCCCGGGCGCTTTCCGGCCCCGACGGAGACCTGCGGGTGTTCCTTCCCGGGCGGGCAGGGAGCCACACCGGATACCTCCCGGCCGGCGTCTGTCGATGGGAGGGATGATAAAGGGTCCGAGGGAGGGTGGCCATAAATCAGTGTGCGCAAGCTTGCCTTCGTTCATTCATTCGGCAGTACTTGAGCGCTCGCTCCGTGCCAGGCGTGGAGCAAACCAGCCAGTCGCGGGAGCTGCTGTCCTGGAACTTCCAGCGTGGGAGGAGGCAGGAACATGTTCAGGTTCTAAAGGACAGACTAGTTCAAAACATCGTAAAGCAGAGTTCTCGATCTCTTCTTTGGATGGAAGATTTTGGGTTGTTTCTAGGTTGTTTTTTTTTATCTGTTGTGAATAAAGGTCCTCTAACGTGCCTGTGTAAGTGTGTGTAGATACATGTTTTCCTTTCTCTTGGGTAAATAGCTAGGAGTGGAGCTGCTGGGTCATATAATAACTGTGCTTTCCACCTTGTAGGAAACTGCCAAGCTGTTCTCCAAAACAGTCGTTTCAGCTTACATTTTCAGTTGCTCCACACGCGGCCAGCATTTGGTACTGCCAATCTTTGCAGGGCTAGCCATTCTAATCGGTAAAGACATACGTGGCTGTAGTTTTATTTGTATTTCTCTGAGGATTGATGATGTTGACCTTATTTCATGTGCGTATTGGCCATTTGTAGATATTTTGTAAAGTGTTAAGTCTTCACTGAGTCTTTTTAAAGTCACGTTATTTGCCTTATTATTTAATTGTAGGAGTTCTAGATATATATTTGGATACAAATCCTCCATCAGATTTATGTATTGCAAATATTTCCCCCCAGAATGTGGCTTGTCCTTTTAAAATAATGGTGCCTTTTAAGGTTGTGGGTTCCATTCCACAGTCTGGGCACATACAGGAATCAACCAATGAATGCATAAATCTATGTTTTTCTCCCTTCTGCTCTCTCTCTCTAAAAAAAAAAAAAAAAAAAAAAAAAAAAAAAAAAAAAACGAAACCGGTTTGGCTCAGTGGATAGAGCGTTGGCCTGCAGACTGAAAGATCCCAGGTTTGATTCAGGTCAAGGGCATATACCTTGGTTGCACGCACCTCTTGCAGGGTGTGCAAGAGGCAGCTGATCAATGACTCTCATCGATGTTTCTAACTCTCTATCCCTCTCTCTTCCTCTCTGTAAAAAATCAGTAATATATATATATATTTTTTTTTAATCAGTCTAAAATTTTTAAATAAAATAATAGTGTTTTTTAAAGAGCACAATTTTTATTTTGATTAATTGATAGTGTATAGACTATATTATTTAGCAATAAAAGAGAATAAAATATAAAATAGTGCAGTCACCTTGGAAAAGTTTCTCAAACTGTGAAGCATAGAGTTATCATATAGCCCAGCAATGCCACTCCTAGATATATACCCAAGGGAACTGAAAACATGTCCACACAAAAACTTGTATATGAATGTACATGGTAATATTACTCAAATAACCCCAAACTAGAAACAACCCAAATGTCCATCAACTAATCAACAGATACACAAAATGTGTTTTCATCTCTACACTAGGATTTTATCCAGCCATAAAAAAAATGGTGTCCTGGTACGCTACAACATGGATGAACCTTGAAAACATGCTAAGTGAAGTAAACCAGACACAAAAGAACCACATTTTGTATGACTTCTTTTGTATGAAATGTCCAGAATAATAAACCCATAGAAAGTAGATAAGTGGGTTGCTCATAGCTGGGGTTAGGACAGGGGAGTGACTGCTAATAAGTACAGACTTTCTTTTGAGGGTATGAAAATTGGTTGTAACTACACTAAAACCACTGGATTGTACACTTTAAAAGGGTGATTTTTTTTTTTTTAAATTTATTGATTTTTTACAGAGAGGAAGAGAGAGGGATAGAGAGTTAGAAACATCAATGAGAGAGAATCATCGATCAGCTGCCTCTTGCACATCCCTCACTGGGGATGTGCCCGCAACCAAGGTACATGCCCTTGACCGGAATCGAACCTGGGACTTTTCAGTCCGCAGGCCAGGCTGACACTCTGCCACTGAGCCAAACGGGTTTCAGCAAAAGGGTGATTTTAATTTAATAAAGTTTTATTTTTCAAAATGTACAGCTGGTGGGACTTGTTGTTCATGCATCTTCACCAGCAGCTGGGGCATCCCCACCCTTTGTGTTTCTACATGACTTGAGCTCTGTGCTTAGAAACTAATCTAGTAAGTCCTTTACTAAGGAGCTCCTAGGGCTGTCCTGACAACAGTCAAGGTTATAAGATTATTGTTGGAAACTTCCTTACAGAGTTTGTCATACGTTGCTTTGTCAAATGAAGCTAGGCTATTGAGCTTGTCCCAAACTTTCTCTTTGGGTCACTTCTTTTTGGCCTTGCCCCCAGATTTGTTCACTGGGTCTTTGTCTTTCTTGGCTGACTTTCTGGCATTTTTCTTCTTCTTGTCCTTTTTGGCAGCCTAGGGAAGCTCAAAGAGCAGCTGCTACCCCTGCAGCCTTGCTAAGATGTTGGACAAAAGGTTAAAAAGGGTGAATTTCATGATGTGTGAATCATCTCCTAATAAAGCCACTGATACAAAAAATAAATAAACTGTGAATGCATGAAACATGAGTGAATTTCAAAACCATTATGCTGAGAGAAGTCAGACAGGAAAGAGTAATACTATGTGCTGCCATTTTTATAAAGTTCTGAAAGAGACCAAGCCAATCTGCAGTGGTGGAAGTCAGATCAGTGGTTGCCTGTGGCAGGGGGTGGGGAAAAGACTGACTGTGAAGGGACACGTAAGGGAACTCAGGGATACAAATGTCCTGGATCTTGATTGGGGTCATTACATGGGTGTATATACTTATCAAAACTCATAGAACTGTACACTGGGATATGTGTGTATTAAATTATGTGTAAACTTTTACTTCAATAAATAAAGTTAATTTAAAAACAAAAAACAGATTTCTGTCTAAGTCAGGCAATAGAGTCAGCAGTGCCTCCCAATCCTTCTCACCCACATCCTTGCACCTTAGGGAATAATCTAGTGCAGCTTTACTAAAGGGCATTTAGAGTCCTTGTCTAGGGTGGACCTGAGGCTCCCAGCCCAGGCTCTGGGCACCTTCCATGCCTGCCTGAGGGCATCAAAGCCTGCCAGGGACATGCTTGGGAGACTGTGTGGTGGCAAGCAGAGTGGACTCTGGAGTCAGACTGATGGGAGTGAGGGTAGTTTCTGCCCTGCTGGTAACTGCCTGTGTGCCCTGGGCAAGTTACCTAGTCTCTTAGTGGCCCAGATTCCTCACCTCTAAATCAGATAGTAATAACACTTGCCTCAAAGGAACACTGACTGGATAGAAATAAGATAACATGTGCAAGTCCCTAGGATCTACCTGACACAGCCTAATTAATCAATTACAACTAATTATCTTCATAAAAGGGGACTGTATCATTTAATGAGAACATAATAGTTTCCTGATTGGCTGAAACCGGTTTGGCTCAGTGGATAGAGCGTCGGTCTGCAGACTGAAGGGTCCCAGGTTCAATTCCAGTCAAGGGCATGTACATTGGTTGCGGGCACATCCCTGGTGGGGGGTGTGCAGGAGGCAGCTGGTCAATGTTTCTCTCTCATCGACGTTTCTAGCTCTCTATCTCTCTCTCTTCTTCTCTGTGGAAAATCAATAAAATATATATATTTTAAAAATATATTTCCCTGTTGCGGGCACATCCCTGGTAGGGGGTGTGCAAGAGGCAGCTGGTCAATGTTTCTCTCTCATCGATGTTTCTAGCTCTCTAGCTCTCTCCCTTCCTCTCTGTAAAAAAATCAAAATATATATATATATTTCCCTGACAGGTCAAGTTTCCTGTTCTAAAAAAATTTTTTTTTTAAAAGAACTATTCTTTAAATTTTTACATCTTGGGAATTCTCACTTGAAAATACAAATGAGTTCCCAGCAGTGTACAGGCTGGCACCCAGAGGTCCAGCATTGCTGTAGTGACTTTTCACTGCACCTGTATGCCCCAGCCTCTGCCATGCCACCCATCTCAGTCTCCTGCTGCTGGTTCCAGAGTGCCCCCAAATTAAAAGGGCACAAAAGGACAGGTGTTTTGAGTGGGGTATCCCTCCACGCCTTCCCTCCACCCTCTTCTCCCCCTTCTCTCTCCTGGCGCCTCTAATCACCAGGCGGTCAGAGGCTAAGTGGTAGTTTTGCCCACAGTGGGGCTTGGAAACCACACCCCTTCTCCTGGGGCCCTCCTGGCCATTCCCAACACCCTGGTCTCCTCCACTGTTGAGATGGGTCTCAAGGGGGCATGGTGTTTCCCATGGTGTGTGTGCCGGAGACAGCGAGGGACTGAAAGAGGAGCAGGTATGGGGAGACTGAGGGGAAAGGGGGGCATTAGGAAGATATAAACTGGCACTGGGAGAAAGGTAAATGCTTAACCTGGTGAAGGGAAAAGGCTAGTTTGTTTCCTTGGATGGGAGGTGGGTCTTTGACTTCACAGAGCAGGCTAGATACTTTGCAGGGCCCTATGCAAAATGCAGAAGTGGGGCCCTATATTAAAAAATGATTAAGAATTTCAAGATGTTGAGAGCAAAGCAGTACACCCAGCATGGGTGCTCTTTGGAGTGTGAGGTCCTTTGCAACTGCACAGGCCTGCTCTCTTAAGGACTCCTCTCTCCTTCACCCAGGACCCTCAGAGGTCTTCCCTGGCCTTCCACCTCAGAGGCTGGCGGTGTTGGGGTAAAGGAGGACCCAGACTCACAATTCCCTTCTTCTTTCAATCTCCCGTTTAGGTCTGGATCCAGTTGCCCCTCCAGATCCAGATCCCAGCCCAGTGACCACCCCCATCATGGCTGAGGGAGGGATGCCCTCCCTAGGGTCTAGTGCCTACTTCAGCAGGAAAGCCCGACTCTCCTTCCGCCACCAGCTGCACGACAGAGCATCAGCCAATGACTCTACCATTTGAAGGGGACAACCAGGGGCTGAACTTCTAGGAAGCCTTGGCAACCTTCCTTCCCCCACCCCCCTTCTCAGTGATTCCAGTTTCTGGCTCCCCTATGATCTTCTCATTAAACATATTCAGAGGTGCCAAGTGTTCTGTGTATGTGCACGTATGTTGGGGTGGAAGAGTAGATGAGGAGACTTGGTTAGGGGGCTGAGATGGGAAGTGCAGAATTGGGTGGGAGTGGGGAATAGGATTAATGAACCTTATGTAGCTGATCTAATGAAGAGCCCTGGTGTGGCTAGCTAGAAGTTTGCTGAAATCAAAGTGCAGAGTTGAGTGTGGAGAGAGTATTTGGAGAGGTTGGGGGCTAGGCAGGACAGCAGATAGGGCTGACATGTTCATTCAGTGACTATCAGATGTCCACTCTCTACGAGGCACTGAGGATAAGTCAGTGAGCAAGCAGAAAGAATTCTCTCTTCTCAGTCCTTACTTTCTAATAGAGGAGGTAGACAATAAGTAAACAAGGAAACATGATAATGAGATAGCAATAACTGCTGCTATGAAGAAAATTAAACAGGGTAATATGAAAGTGTGAGGGGGATGCTGTTTCTTAAATTGCAAGTGGTTAGGAAAGGCCTTTCTGATAAGGTGCCATTCAGAGCTGAGACATGAATGATGTGTCAATGTAAGCTCATCATCTAAAAAGTGTACTACTCAGTGCAGGATGCTGATAGTGGGAGATTCTATGCATATGTCAGAGGCAGGAAGGTGTATGGTAAATCTCTGTATTTTCTGATCAATTTTGTTGTGGACCTAAAACTGCTCTAAAAAAATAATATATTTTTATTTTTATTTTTATTTTTTTTTTTTTTTTTTTTTTTTTTTAGCTAAGAATATTTTTTAATGTACCCCATATATTCAGGCATCATGAGAACATCTTCCTGCTATTAAGAGTTTAACATAATAGTAAGCTTTCATATGGTCCAATGCCCTACTGTTTTTTTTGTTTTTTTTTTTTTTTTTAAATAAGTTTTTATTGTTCATATTATTACAAATGTTCCTTCCCCCCCCACCCCCCACTATTGCTCTCCTCCACCAGGTTCCCACCGCACCCTCTGCCCTTTCCCCACTCCCCATTGTCCTCATCCGTAGGTGCACAGTTTATGTTCAGTCTCTTCCCACACCCCCCTCTCCCCTTTTCCCCAAGAATCGTCAGTTCACTCCCCTTCCATACCTCTGATTCTATTATATTCAACAGTTACTATTGTTCATCAGATTTTTTTTTAAATTTCCTTGGTTTTTAGATTCACTTGTTGATAGTTACGTATTTGTTGTTCATAATTTTTATCTTTGTTTACTTTCTCTTCTGAAAGAACTCCCTTCAGCAACTCATATAAGTCTGGTTTGGTGTTGATGAACTCCTTTAGCTTTTTTTTATTAGTGAAGCTCTTTATCTGACCTTCGATTCTGAGTGATAGCTTTGCTGGATAGATTATCTTTGGCTGTAGGTTCTTACTATTCATCACCTTGAATATTTCTTGCCATTCCCGTCTGGCCTGCATGGTTTCTGTTGAGAAGTCAGCTGACAATCGTATAGGTGATCCTTTATAGGTAACTACCTTCTTTGCTCTTGCTTCTTTTAATATTCTCTCTTTGTCTTTTGCTCTTGGAATTTTAATTATGATTTGTCTTGGTGTGGTCCTCTTTGGATTCCTTTTGTTTGGAGTTCTGTGCGCTTCCTGGACTTGTAAGTCTAATTCTTTCCCCAGGTGGGGGAAGTTTTCTGTCACTATTTCTTTCAGTATGTTTTCGATATCTTGCTCTCTCTCATCTTCTGGGACCCCCATAATTCTGATGTTGGTTCGCTTGAAGTTGTCCCAGAGGTTTCTTACATTATCTTCAATTTTCTGGATTTTCTTGCCTTCTAGCTTCTGTGAAGGAGTGTCTTCTGGCTCTTTATGTTCCAAATCTTTGACTTGATTCTTGCGATCTTCCCTTCTGTTTTTAGGACTCTGTAAAATATTTTTTATTTCAGACAATGTATTCTTTATTTCTTGTTGTTCCCTTATCATTTCTTGTTGACTCCTTATTAATTCTAGTTGATTTCTTTTCATATCCTCATAGGTCTTATCCATCTTTTCTAGGAAATTCTTGAAAAACCTTATAAGCGTAGATTTGAACTCTATATCCAGCCGCTTTTTGTCCTCCATTTCTTTCGTTTGTGATCTATTTCGTTGTCGCATTTCACAGTTACAGATGGGGCGGGGTTTCAGGGTGGAGCCTGCAGCCTTGGCTTCCGTCAGCCCCGCCCTATGCGGGTCCTTCAGTGCTCCCTGCCAGCGCCTCTGAGAGAAAGGTGCCCTCGATTTTCGCCTGCTGCCAAACAGTCAATGCTCTCCCCAATGAGCCCGGTATTGGGGCTCAGTTCAGTTGGAAGTGGAGTTGGAGGTGGCGTTCAGAGCAGTCTGGAGCCCCTGTCTCCTTCCCGCCAGGCAATCCCGCGGCACAGCCGGCCGGCCCTTCTCTGAGCGCACTGCGCGCCGCCGCCGCCGCCGCCGCCGCCGCCGCCGCCGCCGCCGTCGGGACCCCCTTTCGCCGCTTCCCCGGGTTCCGCCTTTCAGCCCGGCTCCCTCTGTGTGAGCCTGGGTCCCCGGGGTCTGGCCTAGGCCTGGGGTTCAGAGCAGTCTGGGGCCCAGCACAGTCAGAGTTTTATCTCCTTCCCGCTGGGGAACGCCAGCCAGGCACTCAGCCGCCCTCCTCTCCGGCTCCGTCCTCTCCGCGCGCCGCGTGTCTCCGTACCTTGGGCTTTTCCAGCTCCTCCGCGCTTCCTTCTGGTTTTCTCCTTGCTTCTCGTTGTAGAATTTCCAGTCAGTCAACTTTCCTGTAGTTCTGGATAATGTCCGTTTTATATTTTAGTTGTATTTTATTGAAATTGTTGTGTGAGGCTGCAGCTAGGTATTCACCTGGGCGCAGCCATCTTGGAGGACCCCTACTCTAAAAAAATAATATATTTTTAAATAGCAAAGAGTAGTCCCTAGCAAAACAACAACAACAACAACAACAGGAACTATTAAGTATAAAACCTCTTAGGTTCTAGGGGAAAAAGCCAGTGACTGGAATGGCAAGATAGAAGGGGATTGCTGAATCTTGTAGGCCATGGTAAGATATTAAGGTCGTATTCTAGATGGAATGGTAAGCCACTGAAGAATGGTAAGCAGGGAAACAACGTGATTTCACTTGCATTGAATGATTTCTTTGGTTGCTGTATGTGGAAAAGATTGGAGAAGACAAGTATGGAAGTGGTAAGGCCATGTAGGAGAGGGTGTTGCCATCCTCCAGGCAAGAGATGAAGGTGTGCCGAAACCGGTTTGGCTCAATGGATAGAGCTTCGGCTTGGGGACTGAAAGGTCCCGGGTTCGATTCCGGTCAAGGGCATGTACCTTGGTTGCGGGCATATCCCCAGTAGGGGGTGTGCAAAGAGGCAGCTGATGGATGACTCTCTCTCATCGATGTTTCTAATTCTCTCTCTCCCTTCCTCTCTGTACAAAATAAAATATATTTAAAAAAAGAGAGATGAAGGTGGCTTGGCTCAAGCCAGCGCAGTGAGAAGTAGACAGATTCCAGACGTACCTTTGGAGAGTTTTAGGACTTACTGTTAGACTGAATGTAGAGTAAAAGGGAAAGATTGAATCAAAGATGCCCTAAGGCAGGGAGGATCAGAACAGGTTTTGCAGGAAAATCAGAAGTGCTCTATTGATTATTTTAAGTTTGATGTACGCAAGTTTGAGGACAGAGGTCCTTTCCTGCTCTTTTTCACTTAATCAGATACTATCCCTCTACAGGGCAGGATTATATTCTAGAGCAAAGTTTTCAAATGTAGCTTATACAGTTCCCTGACCCATAGTGGGGAGAAAAGATTGGGGCAGGATTAAGAATGCTGGTCACACTGAAACCAGTGGATAGAGTGGCAGCCTGCAGACTGAAAGGTCCCAAGTTCGATTCCGGTCAAGGACATGTACCTTGGTTGCAGGCACATTCCCAGTAGGGGGTGTGCAAGAGGCAGTTGATGATTCTCTCTCATCGATGTTTCTCTCTATCCCTCTCTCTTCCTCTCTGTAAAAAATCAAAAAAAATATATTTTTTAAAAAAAAAGAAAAGAATGCTAGTCACTGTCGGTGAACACCACTTCATTTACTTAGGGCCCTGGCTTGAGTGGAGACAGCAATGGAAGGGCCAGAGTCCAGTCTCTGCCTCCCATCTAAGGGGCTGAAGGGCTGACCTATCACTATACTCCCCATGGGAATGGTGGCTTCCAGAACTGGCCCCCTGCACTCTCTGTGGCTGCCCTCTCCCACCCAATGTCCATCTGAAACTTCAATTGCAAACACCTTTATTAGAAAGATGTTTGCAATTGGAGATTCTGACAAGATGAGGTGACAGAGGTAAGTTTGGAAAGAGGGGACCATGAGCCTGAGTCAGAGATCTGGAGTCCTTCTGGCCTTAGAACCAGTAGCCTCCAATGATGACAGGCAGGAGGCAGGCTAAGGGGAGGAGACCTCAGTCTCAGTCAGAGTACTGAGTTCTACCTTGGACTTGAACAGGGGTGGGAAGAGGACCATTTTTTGGTAGTTCCACATAAACTAGTCTGGTGACACAAGGACCTGGATCTACTAGCAGTGTTTCCCGAACTTTTGACATATGTGTACCTTCTATAATTTTCGTAACGTTGAGTACCCCTTGTACTCATGAGAACGTAGAATTAGGCGCAGCTAAGCACGGTGCAGTGCATATCCCCACCAAACTCTGGTGCAACGTGTACCACTTTGGGAAACACTGTACTAGAGGAAAGGAAATGTGGGGGGGAAGTGGCCTGAAGAGTTTGAAAACCACCGCTGTAAAGTCTCCTCTCCAATGGCCCCAGAGCTAGAGCAGTGGTCTGTACAAACTGTAGTGGACCAGACAAGTTTGGGCTGAAGTAAAAAAAAAAAGAACCCCAAAGCACACAGACTCTTTGACAAACT